AGAAATAATACTCTGGGACTTAAAGGAGTTAAATGGATTGCTGGCCTCCAGGAATCATAAAAATCCCTCAGCAGCAGCAAGGGAAAGCTGAAATACTGGCTAAAAGTAAACGTATCAAAAGATCAATAGTGTTTACTTTTAGGTAGTAAGATTATACAGCTTTTCTCTTTATTCTTTAACACTCATATAATTATAAAATTTCTACAATGAATATACATTATTTTATAATCAGAAAAAAGTGCTTATCTGAAAATATAAAGCTCCTATCTTTAAATACCATAGATAAGAAAGAACACTTACATTTTAGAGTATTCTGTCAATATTTAACAAAATGTTAATTACAAATTTTATAATTTCCCTTGCATCCCACTTTTACTAATATATTCTCCCCAAAAATGAGTGCATCAAAAAGTATGCCCATGAGGTCGGCTGCAGCTATGTTAAAAGTATGAAAAAGTTGCAAACCATGCTAAATTACCAGAATAAGAGACTGAATAACTACATTGTGGGTCTTGCATATGGAGACCATTATGGGACTGACGAAAGAATGAACTAAATATACACTAACAGAAGAAGATATGTAAGATAAATTTTGAAATAACAAAAATATTTAAGAGAACATTCTGTATACCAACTGTATTTCTATTTTAAAATGAATGAATATCTTATGCATTATATGTCCATAGAATAAACATGTGTGCATATAAAGTATATATATATATATATATTACATGTATGATGTCCCATATACAATTCTGTACATATGGGAAAACATCTAGAAAAATATATAATAAATCACTTATAGCATTTGCTGTGGGCAATGATGTTAAGGGTCGAGGTTCATACTTTTTATTTTACATACTTCTGTACTCTGATATTTTTATAAAAATTCATCAATTACTTTTACAATAATACACTAATAAAGTTTACTCAAAGAAAAATATTAACTAATATCCTCACACTAGCAAATCTCCCCACAAGCAAGTTTTGAAAATATGAAATATGGCTATTCCTCAAAATTTATTGATTCCAATAGATTATACATATAACAAAATGGGTTTGAAATAAAACAGGAACCAAAACTCTACATACAACTTATTCAGAACACAAGAAGAAAAATGAGGGATATATAGATATATATGACACTCATGTAATCCATCAAACAAACATAGTTAAAAATTCATTGGTTCTTGATATATCAGTATTTATTATAACTGTTGTTTCTCAACACTAGTAAAAACAGCTTTAAAATAGGCTTTAAAGGAAAAGTATGTGCAGAAATCTCCCAGATGAGCAGTGATATTCCACATAGCATAAGATAAACAGCATAAGAGAAATAGACTGGTATAAATTATATTTAGTTTTAAGCTGGACAATAGCAACACTTCACTCAAGACCCACAATAGCCTATTAAAGTCTACCTAACAAAGATATATCCTAATGACAGACTCATTCATTCCACTTTTATTTAGCATTTAGTATGTATGTGAGATTATACTGGAACTTGAAAAATTCACAGAATAAAAAGAGTATGAGAATGCCTACCCCACTGACCCCATGCTCCCGAAGTGAGATAAGTTATAAATCCTGAATTTATAATAGAGAAAAGCATGGAAGATGTGGAAGCAAAGAGAAAAAGAGAATGAATTCATTGAGAAGCGTGATATTTTGGACTGGGCTTTAAAATGAGGATAATAGAACTGGTAAGGCCATCCTCTAGTAAGCAGCAAACAGTCAGATGTGGGTAAAGCAGAATATCCAATTTAGTTTGAATCTGAGGGATAATGGCTCTGATGCATGTCCTGTCTAAAATACAAGCCTAATCACCACATCACAGCTGCCAAAATAAAGTGCTGCATCCTCAGATGGAGTACTTTTGAAGTGCAGAATAAGCACAGATACCCTACCCAACTTCATACTCTTTACACAGAAGCCAGGGCCAGTTAAAAAGGATTTATCCTAGACAGGGATCCCAATCATGTTGCTCTTCAGGTTTTTGACCAAACTGACTGCTTCTCTCTGCCTGAGGAGTTACTGCCAGAGCATATCCGCTAAAAATACGCCAGCTGGCAACAGACTGGCTCCAAAACACCTGAGCTTCACAAACTCAAGGACCAAGAAACCCAAGAGTGTCCCCTTGGGCTCCATCACCATGTAGAACTACAGCCAAACTACAGAGCCATCCTTGACAATTTATATTTACACACAAAGGGCAAGACAATTTTAGTTACAAGGCTATATAGCTACGCATTGTTACTAGAACACATTCAAAAGAAAATTTTTTAAATTATAGTATGAAAAATAGTTTACATTCTTGCTAATATTTAAAAAACATATGAAGTCTCTTGCATGACATAAATTACTAGCAAATGAGTACTGCTTGATGGCAATGAACTCAACCTCTGTAAATTAATGCATCTTAATTTAATATTCACAAGTACAGTGAGACTAGATGTGTATTCCACCCCTGGATCAAGTAAACCAACGGCAATACCAGTTCGCTCATTATTCTGTACATATTTTCCTCGGTTTCTAAAATGAAGGACGGTGGACCTGAATATTTACTTTAAAAATGTAAGATTTATTTTAGTATAAGATTAACTGCATTGAGTTTAACAATTATCTAAATAAGACAAAACCATGCCGATAAAATCAACAAATCTGCAGATTGTGCTCATTTGACACCCCTGAGCACCTAATTAAACATATAAAGAAATTTTGTATGAGTGAATCATTGTGTTATGGGCTTGTTCATAAATGCTTCCATTAAACCTTAAAATAAACCTATTAGGACAACTCTTATAATCATTTAACAGAAAGTACTGAGAAGTTAAGTATCCTGGTCAAAGACTAGAGAAGACTGAAGTTGGATCAATCACTTCTAAGCCCAGTCTGACTCTATAGTACTTAAATACTCTATTAGTGATCTATGAGGGGAATTTTATAAATCTTCCCCACAGTATCACTATCATCAGTACTCATTAACAAGGACTGTGGGATAGATTAGAATTACTTTCCATGTATAAAACATGTAATGATCATGCGTTAAGTTTACTGAAACATGGAAATGTCATTACTTCACATCTAACATAAAATAGACTATCATAATACTGTTACATTCTCTTGGTTTACTTAAAATTTGTTGAAAAACTGTAATAATGTATATTTATAGTAAATGTTCATTATGATGCTGACTTTCACTTAATATTTATTCAATAGTTTTTGAATGATGAATGGAAACCATATTGGTATATATTGGTATATGGTTCTATCTGTACAATATTTAAATAATCACAAATGTATATAAAAAGAAAGTATACAAAGACTAAATTGTTCTCCTGGATATCCAATTTGTAAATAACGAAATCAGTGAAATCAAATAGTTAAATCAGCTCAGTTTGTGAGCAGAGCCTCAGTCTAAATGATATATTTATAATGCTAGCTGCCACATATACCAACTTTTCTTAGTAGTCCTCAAACAATGGTCTCTGAGCCTTTTGCACAGAAATTAAATGTTTATTTAACATGCAGATCCCTGTGCCACCATAACACTTGCTAAATCAAATCAATCTCCTCTCTCTCTCTCTCTCTTTCACATACGCATACACACACACCCAGTGAATCATATTCATACTAACTTTTGAGAACCACCTAAAAACACGCATAACAGAAAGATGTTTCTTTGATTCTGTACTGTATTGTCATGAAAGTATTTTATTATTATTATTTTTTTTTAACTGAAGTCACCAAGACTGGAGTGCAGTGGCACAATCTCGGCTCACTGCAACCTCTTCCTCCTGGATTAAATCAATCCTCTCAACTCAGCCTCCTAAATAGCTGGGATTAGAGACCTGCACCTCCATACCTGGCTAGTTTTTGTATTTTTAATAGAGATGGGGCTTCACCATGTTTGCCAGGCTGGTCTTGAACTACCCGCCTCGACTTCCCAAAGTTCTGGAATTACAGATGTGGGCCACCACGCCCAGCCTGTCATGGAAGTCTTCTAAGTACTACCCTGAATGTATTAAAAGTCAATGTTAGAGAGATGATGAAATAATGAGGATTTTTTCACTGACTTTCATGGTCACATATAGGTATATCGGTTAAAAGAAAATACATGTGGGCTGGGCGTGGTAGCTCACGCCTATAATCCCAGCACTTTGGGAGGCCGAGGTGGGTGGATCATGAGGTCAAGACCTCCTGGCACCATCCTGGTCAACATGCTGAAATCCCGTCTCTACTAAAAATACAAAAATTAGCTGGGCATGGTGGCTCACGCCTGTAGTCCCAGCTACTCGGGAGGCTGAGGCGGAAGAATTGCTTGAACCCCAGAGGCGGAGGTTGCGGTGAGCTGAGATCGTGCCATTGCACTCCAGCCTGGGTAACAAAAGCGAAACTCCGTCTCAAAAAAGAAAGAAAGAAAGAAAGAAAAGAAAATACATGTGAAGCAAAGCACACAGCAACTGCTCAATACATTTTAGGGTGACCATTTAAATGTCAGTTTCTACTGATTTTTTACAAACAGAGTGAACACATCATCTTCATTGGAGTCAAAGATTTCAAGAAAAACTAAACAGGAAAAGAAAACAAGGAAGGTAGTCTCTAGACCTTCACAAAACCTCCGCAAGATCCCTAAGAAAGGCAAGAAATGACCAGAAAGACGAGACACAGTAATTCTCCAGTCTGCTGTCGCATCCCAAGCATGTTGCCTTTCCTCATAACTTACAGCTTTTATTCTAACTCTAAAATTACGGGTGGGAGTGTGGAGGGAAGGCAAATAAATCTTCCGTGCTTAATTTGTAACTGTCACTTTTCTACTGACACTTGTCTGTCATTCAACTGTATTCTCAAAATGACCTCAAGCCCCCACAGACAAGAAGGAATAAACAAAACAGATCAGAAGAGGTATGCACAAAGGGGTCAGGGGCACATTTTCCTTGGAGAAGAGAGTTCAGAGCTAAGAATTCTACAGGACTGCTGTGGACAAAGCAGGAGCTTACCAGGATCAGAGAGGCACTTCTAAAGCACATGCCAGGAATAATCAATGTGGCCACCTGCCAGGCAAGGAAACTGCAAGAAAACAAAGGGTAATTCATCCATACCTCCACAGGTAGGAAATTAGCCTCAAATGTAGCCCATTTTAGTCTAAGGAACAAATCAGCTGCACCTCCCCACCCCAAACACTGCTTTATGAAAGTATGGAACAGAGTGGTGACTGCATGCATTTTCCTCCCTATTTTAAGAAAATTCCCTCTTCAAAGCTAGTAAAAAATGGGATTGTAAGAAAACTAAGAAATACAAAGAATGCCTTTGTTGCTCAGCACACTGTTTATACCAGATATCATGAAGCTTTGCATTCAAAACCCAATCGTAATAGAGTGCCACAGTAGAATGGGTACAGTGAATGTAACCACCATGAATGTTGGCAGATTATTATACAAAGGGCCGTTATCCCACAGAGAGGGCTGGCAGGTTGACAGAGGACCAACAAACGAATAAACTGAAAGGCATAATGAGACCCATTTCAACCCTCACACCACCCTACCCCTCACACGCTGAGGAAAACAAGCCACCAAACTAACCTGTAACCTCCATGCTCTTGACTTTGCTTTTTAGAGAGGAAAAGCCCAAACACATAGACCTTCTCAAGACAGTACAGTACTCCTCAGAGAATGAAAATTTCACAAAGGAGCAAAGACTTAGCTTCACAGACCTTCCAGGACTGCACGGACTCCTACAACATAGGAAGGTATTTTCAATCCATATGGAGCATGGATAACAACCAAATCATTGCTCAGGTCCAAATCAGTTATGAAATGAAAAAGGAAAACAGCCAGCCACCCCAATCCATTTTCCCACAGAGAATTTTTCTAGAGGTTTCAGGGGAAGCTAATTGGATTTGACTGACAACTTGAAAATAGGGATATGTACAGTTTGTGTAGTCTCCCACTGATCTGAATATAATTTACAGTATTATTAAAGCAATTTCAGTATTTTGTATCATTCATTTTATATGCAATAAATAAGTACAGATAGAATATATCTAATAGAGTCTTTGTTCTCTATCCAACACCTTTTCTGCATATATAAGACTACCTTGGTTTTCTCATTATCAACATGTTTATAATAAATAAAACTCGAATTATCAATGAAACACATTTTTTTAAATTATGCGATCACAGGTTTGGTGTAAACAGTACTTAAATAAAAACATCTTTTCTCCTACAAGACAATGATACACTGGGCTGCAATATAAAAGTCACTTAAGCGTTTAAAGAAAAGAGTTTATAGATATAAATATTTTTCAAAACCCTGAAATTTAGGAACTAGATGCAGCTCTTTTCACAAAAATACTCCAAATTTGTCTTTCCACTTCACCACATGAATTGTCCTAGAGATACATAAACTGCAGGTACCCTGATATATATTTGAACATTTATTCCTATTTCCTCAAATCATCAGCCAATCTTTGCCCTGACAGCTATGACTGTCAAATCTCTTCCTTTTGTGCTGCCTAAATTGCTCTAAGTAAAAAAGAAACTGACATTCTACTCCTAAAAAATGAAGCTTTTGACATTTCAGGATGTTAATAGATGGATAAACTGTATAACAGGAACATCAGTCCTGAAAGAGAATTTGACCTGAATAGCCACGCACTGCACTCATGCATTTATAATTGTGCTAGCAAATGAATGAGAAAAGATGAAGTGGAACCATTTTTCAAGAGGCATGCTGTGATTTCTCATTACAGGGATAATCTTAAACAGTAATGATATTTCTTTAAAAACTGAATAATCTTAAGAGTAAAACAGAATGAAAAGAAATCTATGCTTTAAATCCAGGCTTTCTAGGTATCCTCGATGTAAGTAATACAATCACATTCTCATAACCCCAGAAATAAATTCTCCTTAAAAATGAGGATGGTTTAAATTTCTTTTCTTCAAACAACAACAACAACAACAACAAACCCAGAAAACTAGCTATTCACCGGACATTTTATTAGTTTCTAATAAACCAGTTCTATTATTTTAAGCAACCTCTTCCAAGAAAAAGTAGAAATCATTCTGCTTCTTTGTAGATAAAAACAATTCATTTGTAAGTGAGTTTTTAAAAGATTTATGAATTCATTTCATATGGGTTATAGTTATTATTTTGTTTCAAGAGGAAGCAGATATTTTACCTTCAACATACACTTTGGTAAAATTTTATTCAATGTCATGGTAGGATACAACTGAAGACTAGATATTATCCCCATTTAACCTATTAGGATGACAGATCTCTTCCTAAATCCAATTTGATGAATAGAAAAATCCCACCAAAGCTGTCTCACATATATAACTCAATTGAATTTGAAAAAGATGTATTTTATAGTCCTGCCTAGTTAAGTCTTTTAAAAAATATATATTATATCATTTTTTCAGGTTTTGTGTTCCTAACCCAAAAAAGATGTTAACATCATAAAACCCAATTGGAAACATACCTGCAGACGTTTTCCAGCATTCTAAAGTATGGCTAGAGAAATCTTACTTTGAAGACACATTTTCTATACCTGTAAGAACTGATCAGAGTTCATATCAGAAAAGGAAGTTTTCCCCAGACAACACTTAGCCATGGTTTCCTTTTGATAGTCATCACTCTGGATCCTTCTTTACATTTAAAATACTTCCTATCATTTTCATTTCCTGTTAAATATACCCTTTAAACTTTGCTAAAAGTAACTAATATCTCTCCACCACAACACAGAATTGGAGTTTCTTTATAGGGTTCACCAGATGGAGGGGAGCAATTTACAAAAAGTTCCCAGGGTAGATCCTCATATCAAATACCCTAGTAAATCTTTTCTAACGAGGAAAAAATATTATAGTTAATTCATACTATGAAAAACATTTTTAAAAAAATGTTTAGCTGGGCATGGTGGCTCATGCCTATATTCGCAGCACGCTGGAAGGCCGAGGTGGGGGGATCACATGAGGCCAGGAGTTCGAGATCAGCCTGGCCAACATGGCAAAACCCCGTCTTTACTAAAAATGCAAAAAGTAACCAAGCGTAGTGGTACACATCTGTAATCTCAGCTATTCGGAGGCACCAAGGCATGGACTTGCTTGGACTGGGGAGGCAGAGGTTGCAGTGAGCCAAGATCATATCATTGCACTTCAGCCTGAGCAGCAGAATGAGACTGTCTAAAAAAAAAAAAAATTGCAGGTAAGGCACAGTGGCTGATGCCTATAATTCTAGCATTTTGGGAAGCCAAGGCAAAAAGATCACTTGAGTCCAGGAGTTTGAAAGCAGCCTGCACAACATAGTGAGACTCCCTCTCTACAAAATAAATAAATAAATAAATTGCTGGACATGGTGGCACATGCCTACATGGCTACAGTAAGCCATGATTGTGCCCTGCATTCCAGCCTGGGCAACAGAGTGAGATTTTGTCAAAAAAAAATGCAAATGAAATTTCATTATATCAATATAAAGGGTGTTTTGGTAATGCTAAGATTAAGAAATGCCATAAAATTAAAAATTTAAATTTGAACAACATATATTTTGTGATTTTTATATGTACACTGAACAACAGAACAATAAATAATACAGAATCCCATTAGTTTATAAAAATTCTAGCGTTCCAATAATGTCCCCCAAGTCATTATGGCTCTTTGTTGTAAAACCTTATATAATATAGCTATTTTGTAATGAAGATATTAGTTTTATCAGCCATGCCAGTAAAATTTACACCGGCATTAAAATCTTCCAATGTATTTTTCATTACTTTACAAAGAGTCCAAAGAAAATAAATTTTTTTCTTTCTTTTTTTATGTTAAGGTTTTTAGCTTACACACCCTGAAGAAAATAAATTTTTAACAAGTATTTTTATGTGCTTACAACTTAAACTCAAAAAAAGCCATTTTTATCTGTAGTATATTGGTGGGGGGACAGCTTTTTAAGTTAAGACAGACATACACATATTGCCTCATTTCCCTGAAACAGAGGAAATAAATCTCATCATTATACTTCTCTGTAATGTATACTATTTATCACATGGATGAGAAGTCCACCCGTCAACAGAATACGGATTCTTTCACCATGCTTTCACCATGCCAGCAACCCAATCGTCAGAACCTTCAGAGACAGTAAATTCCTTAACATTGGCCTAACATGTAAGTGGATTTTTTTTCAAGACAGAATATTCAAGCTTGAGATCATGGCTTTATTTTCATTGAGATTTAGTTTATGCACATTTTTTCAATTAAAATTAACTGTACAAGAAGAATACAAGACATGCTATTTAGAAACAGAACCATGAAATACTTTTATTTTCCTCAATCCCATATATAAGTAGATATATTTATTCATGAGCTAAAAGCAAATTCAAATATCTATATGTACACCAAAGAGCACAATGCTAAATAAAACATAATCCTAATTGTTTACAAGAATATCTAATTTAAGTGATTTTGTTTTTTGGTCTTTCAACCTCTAACCCTTTACTTACCTGAACTAATCTTGACATTGTCCATTTTGATCACTAGCATTGACCAGAAAATATCCTTATATTTGACAGAAACATTAAAAACTTAATTATCAACAAAACATCAACTCACTTTCCTTATTGTACTAGTATTTTAGAGAAAAATATAAATCATAAGAAAACACATTGAAATTATTATTATTAAAATACTGTTACCAGTGTCAGTCCTGGACTTAGGAGACATATAACCTAAAATTATCATTATGAACTTCACATTACAAAAAATGATCCTCAGTCATTATAAGCCTATATCAAAGAACATATATCATTTTTATTTCATCCTCCTTACAAATAAATGTGCTAAAACATTATTTTAGGACTATTTGTAATAGAACTGAAAATGGAGGTAACTAGTTTACACTTTATAAATTTCAAGCTCCCTTCACTCAGAACATTTAACGATCCAAGAAATCAATTTCTCAGTGATTTCTTATACTTTTGAATATCAAAAAATTGCATTCTTAATAGTAACACAGGCCCACTAAGGCTTTTCTCCTCAGAATTTGGTCAGGACATAGTTTGTTTTCAAGTCAATTTGTGATGGTAG